CTGGGCTCCAGCGATCCTTCCGCCTCAACCTTTCCGAGTAGCCGGAATTACAGGCATGCGCTACCATGCCCAGCTGATTTTTTGATTTATTGTAGAGATGAGGTCTCGCTGCCCAGGCGGGTCTCGAACCCGCGGGCTCAGGCAATCCACTCACCTCAGCCTCCCAAAGGCGCGGGATTACAGGTTGAGCCACCGAGCCCGGCTTCTTTTTTTTTTAATCAGGGAGCTAGCAGCATCTTCGTGAAAATAAGAACAGCACCCTCTCAGGGGAGATTCAGGTCTGTGGCTTCACATCTCGTCAGCTGAGTGGAGACTACATTTCAGCGTCTCCTTCCCTCTGTGGCCTGGTGTTCTTGGGCCGATACAACCTACATAACCTCACAGGGGGCCCTGCAAGGCACACTGAATTCGGTTTCAAAGCCCAGGATTATGTATTCGTTGAGATACAGACACAGATACAAAGGATCTTAGATACAGAAACTTCCATATGATTGGGTCTGAGGGATTTCAGGAATTCTTTTCAACCCTGGAATTCCTGACACATGGAAGGGAAGAAATTTCATCTATTTCACTTTTTTTGTGGTGACTTCAGTTGCAATCATTTATTGCTGTTTGAAGCCTGGAAGAAATCTCTCAATAGCTGGGAGGCTTCAGAGAAGACCTTCTGAGTGAAGACATGAGTGCATCTCCAAAAGAATTCATTGAGATCAGAAATGAAGTGACAATCGGAAACTAATTTTCAGGAATGTATAATTTATGAACATCTTGAAAGGAGTTAAAAGAGAAAGAGGGGTAGAAAAAATAGTTCCAACTCATCTGTCAGAGCAAATAGATTTATGTCATGTACTAAAGTCCTAAGCTGTTTGTGTGACAAACAGCTGCCCTTTGATAAATCACCGGGCTCAGAAGTCAGTGAAAAATGTCACCAAGTAGTACAAATCTGGAGGAGATTATAAAGTTATCGGCCTTAAAAGTTTGATTTAATTTATAGATTAATGACCTTTCTTAGCCCAGATCGAAAGGAATACATATGCATGGCTCTTATTTATTTCATTTCCTAAAATAGAGCCGTGGAGAAGTGGCAGGCATGGGGTGCCTGTGACTCCTGGTTTGGTTTTTTCAGACCTCCAGAAAACGTTCTTGAATTCAATGTATGTTCTCCTCTCCTGCTGGCAAGAGCCCAAAGGCCAATTTTGTGTGCATGTGAGAGGCCCAAAGACGAAAACAAAGGTAGTCGTAGAATTATAGGTGATCTCAGCCAAGAGGTGTAGAATAAATCACTTAATCCAAACTCCTCCTTTTACAGTGAGGAGTGTGAGATCCAGAGAGATGAAGAAACTTAAGATGAAGGTGCAGATCTTAAGGTCCACAGAGATTAAGACATGACTTGTACCAAATCTGCAGAATTGGGACAGGCACACGTGCCCAGTTCTCTTTTTGCAGCCCTCTTGGGATAAAGAAGCACCTCCCAGCCGGGCTTGGTGGCTCAGTCTGTAATCCCAGCACTTTGGGAGGCTGAGGCAAGTGGATTGCCTGAGCCCGCGGGTTTGAGACCTGCCTGGGCAACTTGGCGAGACCTCATCTCTACAATAAAGCAAAAATTAGCTGGGCGTGGTAGTGCGCGCCTATAGTTCCAGCAACTTGGAAGGCTGAGGTGGAAGGATCACCGGAGCCCAGCAGGCCAACACTGCAGTGGCCGGGAGCGGCCACTGCACTCCAGTCTGGGTGACAGAGTGAGACTCCAACTCAAAAAAAAAAAAGCACCTCCCATGTCGCCTTTGATTAGCCAACAACATCATCATATGTTCAGCAACGTGGAGACAGTAAATTCTGAGTAGGCGGTTCAATAACGGGGGAAAGAACTGAGAACCCAGGGAGCACCAGAGGTGTTAGGATGCCAGCAACCTGTGTACCCCTCTGTAGACTCCATAGGTTAAGCCAGCAGTCAACATGGAACACTAGGACCAGGAAAAGTGAAACAGAGGCCGAGTCAACAGATAGCAACTTTTGAAAATTAGTGAGAGGTTGAAGGCAGGGTTAAGACTAGGGTGACTCATTGAGACACTAGCTTCAAGCACAATATTTAAGGAGATGCCAAAAAAAACTCATCAACCAAGATAAATGGTGTTTCAGTGCAATATTTTGTTTTGTTTTGTTTTGTTGTGTTTTTTTTTGTTTTTTTTTTAGTTGGAGTCTCACTCTGTCACCCAGACTGGAGTGCAGTGGCCGCTCCCGGCCACCGCAGCCTCGACCAGCTGGGCTCCGGCATGCCTTCCGCCTCAGCCTTCCGAGTAGCTGGAATTACAGGCACGCGCTACCACACCCGGCTGATTTTTTGATTTATTGTAGAGATGAGGTCTCGCTGCCCAGGCGGGTCTCGAACCCGCGGGCTCATGCAATCCACTCACCTCAGCCTCCCAAAGGCACGGGAATACAGGCTGAGCCACCGAGCCCGGCTAATATTTTTTAAGAACCCAAAATTCATGCAAAAAAATGCCCGATGAACAAAATGTGGAAATTTTAAATAAAGATGGGGTGAGTTTCCCTGATTTTCCCTTGTGTCCTGGGTTCCAATCTGACTCTGCCAGCCCCCCCACCCCACAGCCCAGTCACTGCCTTTGCCACACCTGGTTTTGTAATGGTTTATAATGGTTTATAATGCCCTTCTGCTCTTCTTTCTCTTTGCCATTCACTCATTCCCCCCACTCCCCTTCTTTTTTTTTTTTGGAGTTGGAGTCTCACTCTGTCACCCAGACTGGAGTGCAGTGGC